TTCAGATAAACAAGAACAAGTGCATTCACAGAGAAGTGCGCCAAATAATTCTGCGCTGCTACGTATAATAGCTGTAGATATTTTGTGCCTCGGTGAAGAAGAAAAAAAAAATAGCTGAGGGGCGCGGTTTTAAAGGGCCGTTGCTTCATTACACTTTTGGGTAACATTACCAGGTCTGGCTACTTTTTAGTCTGGTGGTGACAGAAAAACTTCCGTGACAATTTTTCGGGCTACTTTCTTGTTCCCTAGATTTGAACCAAATTATCAGTGAGGTTGCAGCCGATGATGTACGACTGTGTGGTGTGCAAACAACGTGGCTAAGGCACGTGTCCAGCCACTAAAATTAAACCAGCACTTTCTTGGCACAACAGAAAGAACCTTTAAGTGTGTGGCTCTATACTTTGAGGAAAACCCTTGCTCCGGTGCCGTTTTGCAGACCACCTACTATAGTAGAGCTGTAATGGTCGAGGTTGGCCGTGTGTCGTAAATAAAAAGCTATCATCTTTATGAACACACATGTGCTCAGTCATCGCCCAAGCACTCGGTACAGACGTTAAGAAGAGAAGCTCCATTTGTTCGGCTCCTAATGAATTTTTTCCGCCATGTGTCCCCTTAATTTGAAATGAACCAGCGTGGTGGCTGGTGTGATTTGCGCAGTCTCTGTCGTACATACGTGCTTTATGATCAGAACAGAGATAGCCGCGTGTAGTATATTACAAATACGAGAGAGAAAGAGACACATGAGAAGGTAGGAGCCTAGCCAAGTCGAACAAGCTAAGTGCTCAGCAGCCCTGCTATTACTGAGCCTTGCGGCACTATAGCTGAAGTCGCGCTAATATTTCTCTTGAATTAAACTTAAACCATAATCGCCGTAATTAGATGGAAACTGCTCAGTCTGAAACTCTATGCTCCCTGAGCTCCCTTCACTAGTCGGCTTTAGAAATCGAATATCGAACGAGGTGCTTCTGTCATGTCTTACTATTTAGTACTACTTGTGACTCGGGAGCAATGACTGCTCAGACGTCGTCATCACGCTAGAAGTGATTGTGAAAATCATTATGATCTACGATTCAATGCTATTGTCCAAGCGACTGCAATATTGAACAAAGTAATGTTGTACTCGTTTCTGTTGTCACCACCAGGCTGTTAATTCTAGTGTTCTCAAGAGAAGTCGCGCAACATGCGTGAATACCGTGTCACTAGAGAGTTCCTTAAAGCCCTGTTGTGGTGGTCTAGTGGCTAAGGTACTCGGCTGCTGACCCGCACGTCGCGGAATCGAATCCCGGCTGCGGCGGCTGCATTTTAGATGGAGGCGAAGATGCTGCAGGTCCGTGTGCTCAAATTTGAGTGCACGTTAAAGAAGCTCAGGTGGTCGACATGTCCGGAGCCCACCACTACGGCGTCTCTCATAATATAATGACAGTTTTCGGACGCTAAACCCTGCATATAAACCAAAAAGTTAATTAAAAGTTCGTATTTTTCGCTTTGCCTCGGTGTGTACGCTATGTTATAAATATGACTTGCGTATCGAAGTGGGTATATAGCGTATGATATATGAGCAGTGGCATGAAACGCCAACACAAAAACCTGCGTACCCTATTCTAAAGCTGCCTTGTTGTGGCAACGGTGCAAGCAACTTTGTTATCTTGCACCGAATCATTGCTAAAGTCAGCAATTTCCGCTTGAATTTCAGCAATTCTGACTTTAGAGCATTCAGACAGTATTTACCTTGATTTTCGTGAAAGGGTTTTTGCACTCACTGATGTAAATAAAAACGTCGCCAAGGTTTTCGCACATGGCTTGCTACTTTGGCTACGCTTACGGCCATTACCTCAAGTGGGCTACATTTTGACTAGCTTTCCCAACTTCCTGGCAGTTCTTGTCGTTTCAACCTAGCAACCCTGCGCGACTTCAACATGGTTTTATGAAGGGCAGGTCGACGGAGACTGCTTTACTAGCTCAGAAAGAAATAATCCTAAATCGTTTGAGAGTAAAGAACTTTGCATTGGTGTTTTCATAGATTTTTCTAAGGCTTTCGACCGTCTCTGTCATCATACTTTATTTGAAAAATTAGAAATATATGGTGTTCGCGGCATTCCACTTTCCCTCTTGAAATCTTAATTTAAGTACCGCTCACAATGTGTAAAAATTAAGGATTCACTTTCTTCTCTCCAGGCAATAACCACAGGGGTTCCGCAAGGTAGCATTCTAGGACCACTGCTTTTTAACCTACACATAAATGACATTGTCAAGGTCAGTGACAAAGCTAAATACATAATATACGCGAATGACACCAGCATTTTCTTTACAGGTAACGACATGACCACCATGACCACACTTATAAACACTACGCTAGAAAGCTTAAACACATGGAGTGAACGAAATTCATTACTTATTAATGCAACAAAGACAAAAGCTGTAGTTTTTCATTCGCGGAGACTGATTTCCTTAGACAATAGATTACGTATAGGTAGCGCGGCTGTTGAAACCGTAGAAACCGTTAAAACATTATGAGTACTTTTTAATTGCACAATGTCGTGGGATCCTCAGATTAATAATCTAATTACCAACCTATCAAAATGTGTGGGCATACTTGCACGAATGCGTTATTTTCTTCCAGTTTCTGTTAAACTAACACTTTATAATAGCTTGTTTTTGTCGCATGTAAATTATTGTCTTTTGGTATGGGCAAGTACGACAGCAACCAACATAAATAGAATATACAGACTACAAAAGAAAGCGATCAGGTTTATAGCAAATGTCGACTACTATGCACACACAGATGAACTGTTTCAGCGCTATAATATTGTCCCAATTCACAAACTTTACGAGTATTCCCTAGCAATAAGATATAAGCAATCTCTTTTTCATAACAGTCGTGCCTTCTTAGATATTTTTGAACTGGAAACGCATGCTAATTCGTACCCTACTCGTCACCAACAACATTGGAACCTTCCATTCTGTAGAACAAATTTTGGGCGACAAATGTTATGTTTTAGTGTTCCTTTGTTATTAAATAAATTACTGGAGGCAAAAATAATCCTTGAGAAATGCAGTGCACGTGACATTAGGGAAGTGCTTTTATCGTGAAAATTGAGAAAATGGTGGTCCAGGCATTCATGGAACTCTCTATATATGTATATGTGTGTGTATATATATGTGTATATATATGTATATATATACACATATATATATATATATACATACATATATATATGTATATATATATATATATATATATATATATATATATATATATATATATATATATATATATATATATATATATATATATATATATATATATATATATATATATATATATATATATATATATATATATATATATATATATATATATATATATATATATGTGTATATGTGTGTATGTATGTGTATATATATGTGTCTGTATATGCATCTCCATATGTGTGTGTATAATCATGTGTATGTGTGTACACGCAATTTCTATGCATAGCATTGTTGTCATATATATAGTATTCTGTATTCCGTCATATTTTGCATTGTACTTCGGAATTTGTGCCGAACTACTTACGCATATTAGTCTCTGTATATAGCATTACTGTACGTGCCTCTTCCGACTTGTAGTGCGCTAAACATCTCATGGCCTATGTTCGTTGCCTATATGTTCATGGCTTATGTTTCTTTACTCATGTCCACGTTGCTTGCCATGTATTAGGGAGGCTCGGATTCTCCTCAAGTGACAAAACGTCACTTTTCTCCCGAGCCTGCCCTCATCCTTGGGATGAGATAAAATTGAATCGAATTGAATTGAATTGAAAGATACGGCCAAAATAAGCACAGGTGAAGTCGTTTGCATTTTTAATTGAAGTATGCATATTTCAAGGTAAGCGCCAATAGTGGACAACACGTGGTGGTACATTGTGGCAGGTTCGCTAATTCCAAGCCACTCTTTAAAGAAACAAAAGCGCCGGTTGATGCCAGATAAAAACGACGCGCGAAATACTGGAAGCGTCTGGGTCTTGGCTCAGATAAGTACGTTAGTGAACCTTCTGCTTATATCTGCCCACAAAAAAAGAGGTTGAATATTTAGGGTAGATAAAAGGCCTTGATTGTTGTGCGCAATACCGACGCGAGTGCATTCTTGTGTTGTCAGGAGTGGAAGTCTGATGTTTTTAATAAATTAAGTTGTTAGCCTGTACCCGTGCTATGAACTTCTTTTGCTTCTGTTTCATCACCCAAGCAGTTTTATTTAAGTTCCAATGTCGTGCAAACTAGCCTCCCAGCACACATTGCTTGTGTTCTAAGATAAATATAACCGAAAGTGAACAGAGAAGAAGGCGACGTTAAGAGTAGGTAACAATCGAACCCCCAACCTCAACATCACACGCGCGGTGCACTACCTGCGGCACAACAGTCGTGGTGGACGCTCCCAAGCCCACTTTCACGTGTGTACACCTTCGTGTTCCTCCTCTCTGCCTATGTATGCGCACCCTATTTGTTAATGGGACAATTCTTGCAGCAAAAAAATGCAAAAGATAATTATAAAGGTGGCACGATACGCTTTTGCTTGCTCACTTGGAAAACTAAATCTAGCATACGTTACGTCAGAGTGTTTTACGTAGGGCTATTTTCCCAGTGCAGGGTAGCAAACCGGATGTGCGTCTGGTTAACCTCCCTGCCTTTCCTCGCATCTTTATCTCTCTCTCTCTCTCTCTCTCTCTCTATTAAATAGAAATGTTGAAGTTAGACGGTTTGTCTGTCAGGGCACTTCACTTTGACCATTTCAAACGAAAACCAATGTATCACTTCAAAATATTTCGCTCTTAAGTTTTGCGAAAGACAATTAAAACGAAGAAGAATGGCTAGGGTATACTATGGGTTTGACTTCTACCACGCTTCCTTACGCCCGGGCCCACCCTGCTACCATTTGTATACACGGAAACAACATTGAGAAGGTGCGGAAGAAGGCAAAGTAAGCCGGGGTAGGCCAGTGCAGACATCCCACACAGTAATACCTGGTCCAGGTGACGAGGAAGCAACAGACAACGGTGGCCAAGGCAGGCGACGACGTCCCAGTGCCTCGTCGCAACGGTTGAGGCAAAGGCTGCCGCGTTGGCGTAGAGGACCACCATCCGCCGCACTGGCCACGGGAGGAGCGGTGGTTGGTGACACTGGACGGACAGGCAGTCGACAAAGCTCTTCCAGGGCCTGCGCCACCGCTGCTGTCCGAACTCATGGTGCTGTCCTCCAGGGTCCCGCGACCGACGGCATCGCAGCATCGTGGCGACTCCAGCGGACTACCTCTCCCCTTCGAATCGCTACTACCTAAGCGCGTTCATGGTACGTCTACTGTCCACCTTCCTGGAGTCGACTTCGAGAGATCGCGTCCGCCACGACACAGAAACACCGGGAGCGGACGGGCCCAGCCGCGTACAGGTCCCAACTCCGGCGCGCGTGCACCAGCCGCCCGCGGCCGAGAAACAGGGTCGACGAAGAGAAAGTTGGCGCCACTTCGCGTCTCTGAATCCCGCGCGCGCCCGACGAGCGCGCGGTACGCCCGAGCTAGCGGGGAGGGTAAAGGTACGTGCACGTGCGTGGGGGAGGAGAAGTGGGCCGGCGATACGAAAAGAGAGCGAGAGAGGCAAGGTGAAAGGATTGTCGCTTGGTCTTTGCCGTCCTCCCTTCTTCTTCGTCATCTTCTTCTCTCTCCCCAACCATTTACTCTTTCTCCTACCCCTCTCCCCCTGCTTGTCTTGGTGTTTTGCTTCCCCGGCTATTTATGGGATTAGAGAGGAGGGCAGCGCCGCTGTGCGGCCCGCGGTCCAAGCTCGGGGGCGTTTGCGCGCTCTCCAGAATGGGACCCGAACGGCGCGGCTGTAATTGGAAGGGCGGCAAGGATTAGAGCACCTGCGCGGATGACGCGTCCGTGCGGCGGGATTAGCGGGGCATAGCTAAGCTTGGCTTGACTCACCTCAGTACGGCCGCAAGTGAGACACGCGGAAGAGGAGTTCAATGCGGGGAAGTGGGATCGCGTACGCGAACTTTGAACAACGCGTTTCGCTCATTAACGGTGAAACGCTGTTCGCATACGGGACAGCACTGCAGGTGCCACAATGCTAAGCACCCGCGAGGCAACCTGATTTGACAAGCATTGTTCGAGAACAACCACATGGCAGGGAGCTTTTTCCCGGACTTCACCCGTTCTTGTATGCCGCGAGACTATCGCTTAAGTTTAATAAGTTCGAAAGGGCAACCACACATTTCGACGCATGAATGTAAATTATGCGCATGTTCCACAAAGAATTTAATAAAGAAGCACTTGAACTCTGTTTCGAGACATGATGCGTGTCTTATGAACTTATGCAAAAAGGGACGCTTAGGCTGTCCCGGCATTCTCAAAACTCGTGTCTCATCTTCAGCTTTTGCAATTACGCATCGAAAAGAACTGACCTAGTTTATTGTCTTAACGTTTCTTGTATTTTTTTTATTGATATCATATATAAGCAGGGGTTAGAGCTCAATTAAGGCACCGGTTGGTCCTTAGCCCTTGATCGAATGTTTAACACACATCTTAAAGGAAAGAAAAATGAATAGCAGTACACGGAAAATACAACATCCGAGCACGCATATGCAAAAACAAACAAAAAACTATACGCACATATCAACTTACACCACACACAAAAATAAGAGAATGTTCGAAAGCCAATGAATAATGTATCTGATCATGTTCAGTTAACATTCAATTGAACCGACAAAATAGCAGTTATAATATATACACGTCTGGTCTTTATGGGGATGTATCCACTCATGTGTATAGAACAATCGACCCGGTATGCGCACTTCAGCACACGCATATGATGGGTGTCATATATTACTATGCATAATAAGTACGGCATGTGAAATTTCATTATATCTTAGTACTTGTCAGTGATTATGCTCTCTTATAAAAAAGCGTTTTAACGCTTTTAAAGCACACGTTTGTAAAGTTGCAGCTGGCCACGGACACAGAAGTTTCTTTATAATGAGCAGTCTGCGGTCTATTGCCAACAGTTCCGATTTAGGACGGCGTCTCGGCGTGTCATGATGTGGTCAGCATATAAGAAAGTGACATACGTCTTCTTCTACAAATACACAATTGCATTCGGGAGTTCCATCTCTGTCAATTATGTGTAAAAATGTTTTGTGTATGCGGTGCTTAGCCTTAACCGTAGAATAAGTGTTTCCGCATTTCTCTCGAATGCTAGCGTAATGTTGAATTCAATGAGTGAATCTGTGTGATATATATCACAGCCCTTCGTGCTTTGGTCAAACCTAGTATTTTAGCTCATTTGAACAGTTGTAGCCTTTATAACAATACGCAATTCATTTTTCAACATTGGTGAAGAAACAATAACATCTTTACGATGTGCCTGTCGTGCCACTTGATCGGCAGCTGCATTACCAGGAAATTTTCAATAGCCAAGTATCTACTGGAATTTGCTTTCATGCTGCGCCTGGTTCACTTTGGTGAGCTCTTTAAGTGTTTCGTATGTCTATTTATTAACTTTTTTACTTGAATTTATTTTCATTCGAAATATTGTCAGTCAGAAATGCTGCCCGTCTTTTCATTAGGTTAAACTGAAGCTTTGATAACTTCAGAAAGACAACAATCCTTGATGTATACCTACATAAAACGCCCTGCAAAAAACATATTTGCACAGAGTAAAAAAAATGCACCAAAAAGGTGAAATGATATTCCACTTGTCGTCTAGTGCAAAATTGTGTGCGCTACAGAAAATAAGTAACCGATTACCATCCCAGTTACTTCATTTAAGTTTGATTGATTATAGTGGTCAATTACAGCTGCAGTAAAGTAACTGATCAATTACAGAAGTGTAATCGAATACAATGAGAGCTTACAGAAATTACTGCCAAGAAATGTATAAGGGAAGTTGTACACAGTAATTTTGTTATAAAGGTGTAGAAACTAAAGTGCGTGAAAAGATCACTTCCCCTCGGCAGAGACCGAACCTGTCTGTTGGCGTCACGCAGCATGTGGTCTTATTACGGGAATCCTGGCGACCAATAATCCCTCGCATACTACCTGAAAGCGTGAAGTCTGTCAGAACGAGACCCTCACTATGAATGAAAGAAAGAAGTGAAAATTTTTCTTTGTTTAACACAATATTCACGAGAATGAACAGACAGCACAGTCAAGGAAAAGATAGGGGATGTAATTAGTAGTAAATGCAATGTAAATGTGAAGAAACGTAGACGGAAAGATAACTTACCGTGGGAATAGACTGAATCTGCGACCTCCAATTAGGCGTCCGATGCTCCACCGATTCAGCTACAATGGCTGTCGTCCCCCATCCACTTCTTTGGGTATATATATATATATCTGTATATCTGTACATTTAAACGCGGGAGTGCCACTCAAAGCCAGTCGCAACCATGGCCGTGACATGTGGAACACTCGCGTCATGGCTGGATATACTCAATGAAGTGCACGGAAGGCTGACCGCCGCTGTAGCCTGATTGGTCGAGCATCGAACGCGTTATTCGAATGTAGCGGGTTCGATAGACGCCGGTGGCAACCCATCCTTCCCGTCCACTTCACTTTCTTCACACTTATACTAGTACGTATGCCATCCCTTATACATGGAGTTATTGTCTGTCTGTTATTATTATTATTATTATTATTATTATTATCATTATTGTGTCCAACAAAGAGAAAACGAGCCGGCTTTTACTTGTGTGATATGGCGTTACACGTTCTCGTTTTTTAACAGGAGTTGTTTTTTAAAAGTTGTCGTCACTGATTATTTCACGTTTCCTCCTTAAGAGGCCAGCTGCTACATTCTTTCGATGCGTGCGTTGGAGTGGAGGGAAAGATGGTATTGACGCGATTGCGTTAAAGAGCTCGTTTCGCAGAAATTCTGGCGTCCGAGCCATTGTCGGTGTCGGCGAAGGTGACGTTAGTTGTTGCAGAAAAATTGCGGAAGATACAAACGAAATAATAAACAACCCTGGGTCCGAGTGAGGATCTAACCCAGATAATGTGCGTGGGAAGCAGATGTCCTACCACAGAGCCGCGCATCTGCTTGGAAATGCAGTTAAATTAACTTTTTCGTTATACAAACACGGATGCTGTATACAGGCTTCGCAATAAAACACGTAATATTGCAGTAATGTTACGTTACACAAGGCGCAAATCACTACCGGGTGCCAAAACGTGTGATTATCATAATGACTTTGTGATTTAAAGCTGACCACGCATTACATAAGGCAGTCGCGTTACGGCGCATATTACCTGAAGTGGGTGCAGAGGAAGTTAGAAAAGATTGCACGCGCATAATTGCTCGTAGTTTAACGCATGCTGCCATTTACACAGAATGCATCCATATGCGAAAGCCTCACGGACACAAGCAACTTTCAACTTCATTGATTATACTGTAGTAATACACAACTTAAAAATTATCCAGTAGCATCTTACGATTTAAAGTATGCAGTAAGTGGTGGAAGCAGGCACATACGCACTCGCCTTCATATATCTCGTTGAACTCACCTGTGAAATTTGGTTATTGTGTACTTTCACATCGTGAGTTGTACAGTCTCGCATTTCGTGCCCTTATTGTTTATCTTGCTGCAGAGCTTGTCTACTAAGGGATAAGGAGTAGCTGGTGCCACCATAAAGGCTCCGAGCTCTCCTATTTCATAATAATAAAAAAGAAAAACAAGCTCGTAAAACTCTTTTTCTCGCATACTACCTGAGAGCATGAAGTCTATCAGAACGAGACCCTCACTATGAAGGAAGAAAAAGAATCTGAATTTTTTTTGTTAGACACAATATTCACGAGAACTAACAGACAGCACAGTCAAGGAAAAGATAGGGGATGTTATTAGTAGTAAATGCAATGCAAATAGGAAGAAACGTAGATGGAAAGATAACTTACCATGGGAATAGACTGAATCTTCGCCTCTGAATAACGCTTCCGATGCTCTATACCAACCGTGATACAACGCGGCGGCTGTTCTCCCTTTAATTTTTGGGGTTTATATGTGCATTTAACGTGTCAGCGTCAGTCAAAGTCCGCCAGTAGCCATGACGGTGGCAGTAGCCCTTCTCTCACCGTCATGGTCATGGCTATTGTCTATTCCACGTTTTCTGCCCATTTACTCCAGCTCTCTCATGCAGCTGCAACGGGGCCGCTAGCTGCCCTTCTTGATAACTAGCTACTGCCGGAGCCTAAAGCACAGAAATACCTAGCCGAACTCTCGTCCCTGGAAATATATTTAGTTACTATTCAGCTATTTGCGTAGATCTGGCACATTACACAACTATGACACTCCGGCTTCCCAAATCCTTTTTTTTTTCCTTTTTGCACACTTGATTTTCTATTTTTCTCTTCGCTCTTCTGTAAACTAGCCAACGGGATGTTTTATTTCCGAAATTTCTATATATATATATATATATATATATATATATATATATATATATATATATATATATATATATATATATATATATATATATATATATATATATATATATATATATATTGAG